CAAAAAAGGAAAACATATCTTTGGGGGGAGACGGGGGCCCCCAGAGGCACCTTGGACGGCAAAGCAGTGCGGAAACGGGGCCCCGTCTCCGCTAGTCTAAGCTAGCACCGACTTCCCGATTAAGCTAGGTTAATCAAGAGGGCAGATTCGGAGAGATCTCGAGGAGTACATACAGATAGACCCTCCAGCCATCAGAAAACTCCGACATATGCGGTCGTACTGACCGCCGACAGATCACTCCAGACAGCAGACACGCCGACGTCTGCACGCGGCCGACCGGGCGAGAGGCAGGACACGATGCCGACCCAGCGACCCCGACGCTGGAGTGGGGAGGGGGGGGTGGGGAATGGTCACCTCCTCGCTGAGCTCCGCGATCGGCGCGTCGCGCGAGCCGCCGATGTAGTTTAGCAGCAAGTTGTACTCGGGCGGGCAGCGGCCGGGGAAGAGGGAGGACGACCAGAGCGTGCCCAGCGTGCGCACGCCCTCAGAGCGCGGGTTGAGCGACCCAAACCCGGGCAGGTCTCGCAGCGGCCCGAAGCCGTTGTCGAGCTCGACGTCGCGGAAGGCGCTCTTCGGGTAGGCGACCTGCGTGCGTTGTGAGTACGCCAGCATGAGGGCGGGAAGGCGGTCTCGTGCTGTGCAGTCGGAGCGCCGCGTGAATACGAGGGGATACGAATACAGCGAATACGGCAGAGATGGTCGAGAAGACAAGAGAAGGCGGACTCGGCTCCTAGGAGCCGACCGTGACGGCGGCGACGGGCGGGTAGTAGATCCCCTTGCGCCCGATGCCCTCGCGCAGCGCCTCTGTCAGCGGCGCCGCACCGGGAAGGACCTCGTCGATCACGCCGCGCAGCGCGTGCGCCGGGAGTGTCGAGACGACCGTCCTCGCGCAGACGGCCTGCGGACCGTGCGGCGTCTCGAAGGTGGCGAGGTAGCCGTCGGCGTCGCGCCGCAGCGAGGCGAGGCGCCACTCCAGCCGCACGCGCGAGGCCGGGTCGGGCGGCGCGCCGTGCGGCTGGCCGAGCTCGGCCGCTATCGCGTGCGGCAGCGTAGAGAGGCCTAGGGAAGGGGCCGCGGGGAGGCGTGAGAGGGAGAGGTCGAGGAAGCGCCTCTCTCCTTGGGCAGGGTGGAGCGGCCTCTGCGGTACGACCCGGGGTTGCCGTACTCGAACGGCACCCAGGAGGGGTCGGGAGGGCTCGCCTACCCAGCAGGGCAGCAGCAGCCAGTGAAGACCCTTCCCCTTCCGAGAGACCGGGGTCCCCCGCCTTGGCGGGGTCGGGCGGGCTCGCCTTGCGCTCCTTCGTCAGCTCGACCTGGCGCGCGAGGCCGCCGTAGAAGATGGCGCCGAGCTTGTTCCACTCGATCCCGTACGAATAGCGCTCGATGCGCGCGATCTTGGACAGCGCGGCGGACATCGAGAGCGTCATCGGGTCGCCCGCGTACACGCCCGACACAAAGGGGTCGATGCAGCGGAGGAAGACCTCCTCGCCGAGGGTGCGCGTCACCCACTCGCGGATGGTCTCCTCCTTCCCCTCGGGCGGCGGCGCGTGCCCAACCAGCGCCCCGATCGCCGCGCGAATCTTACCGGGCCACGACAGCAGGCTGCCAGAGAGCCCAAACTTGAGGACGCCGTTGGAGCCAAAGACGAGCTCGAGCTGGCCCTTTGGGCCCTTGCCGCCCTTGCCCTTGGGGAGCGGGTGCAGCTTGCCGCCGTGGTTCACCCACGGCGGCAGCGACTCGTCCGCAAACACCAGCTCCTTCTCGATGCCGAGCTCGTGCGAGATGCGGACGATCGACGGCTGCGTCGCAAAGGAGTTTGGGCCATCCTCCCAGACGAAGCCGTCCTCCTCGTGCGAGACGACGTTGCCACCCACGTAGTCGCGCGCCTCGGCGAGCAGCACGTCCGCGCCGCCGCGGTGCAGGTTGTGCGCCAGCGTCGAGCCCGAGATGCCGGCGCCGACGACGATGCAGTCAACGCGCCGGTCGACGGCCATGTCGGCGGAGGCGCGCACGAGAGAGGCCGCTGCCCGCTGCCGCGCGGCAGCCGCGGTCGGCAGCGGCCGCTGCGGCGCGAAGAATCCGATCGCCAGGAGCGGCAGCATATGATGTGTTATGTCGAGTCCTCCAATGAAGCACCCGCGGCAAAGAAGAAAACGACGACGCCCTTGGGTTTTGTTTTCTTTCTTTCTTTCCGGGGGGCCCTCTGCGCCGGGGCGGCGTTGTTGGAGGCTAGGTCGCAACCACCATTAGGTCGCAACCACCATTAGGATTAGCAAGCAGCTCAGAGTGAGAGATTTAGGAGAGATTTTTAGAAGCCAACAAGAAATGTGTCAGTGGGGAGCTGGCTCCAACAAACGACACTGCGCGGATTTTCATTCACAGCCTTGTTATTATCGAGAAGAAAATACCTCGTATGGCGCTTGGTGTGCGCTGGTCTGGAGTCTGGTGGTCTGTCGGAGAGGTTGAGAGGTGCGAGCCCTGGAGGCCCTGGGGATTCACAGATAGGTTTGACAAGAAATTTACAACAAAACTCGTTAATCAGTAACCAAAGTCTTGCCCGCCACAGAAATCAATTTCTCTGATTTCCACGGGCCGTCGGGGAGGCCTGCCGCGTGCCGGCGGCCTTCTCTATCGCGCTGCCACCTTTGGCTTTTGAAGGTGCCTATATGGGCTTCCAGTATCGGACCTTCAAGACATGCGCTTTTGGCCGGTGGCCTCCTCGGACATGGTACCTCCGGTGAGATAGTGGCTGCCAGTTCGAGACTGGGGCCGATCGAACTTGAGTTCGGAAGAGTTGTTCGGAGGAGGAATCCGGCCAGCACGGGTACAAAGAGGGGTACCCGGAGAATCCCCAGCTGCGGAAACGTAGTGTCGCTCAAGAGGTGCGATACTGCGGGGGAGTGTAAGGTGCCTATATGGGCTTCCAGTATCAGACCTTCAAGACATGCGCTTTTGGCCGGTGGCCTCCTCGGACAGCTTTGCCGCGCGCATCACGCACACGGAAAATTCGGGATGATCGCAACGAATCTGGGCGTCGTGGGTCGTGCGTGCGAGCAACCCCTCGACTGGAGTATAGTGCATCGCGCCACGACGCATGAGCTAAAGCCCAAACAGATGGTCATGCATCCTGCTCTGATGGTCTGGGCCACGGCAACACCTTGCTTGGCAACAGACAGCGTGCCACCCTCGTCGGCCGCGAAGACGTGCACTCATCCCCAGTAGTACTACTCACCCTCGACAACGCACAAGACAGGTCACACAGAGAAACGACACAGCCTGGAGGCACGTGTATCGATCAACGGCTGTCGTGTGCCGTGTTCGTACTCACTTGAAGATGCGCGTGTCCTCCGGGTCCTCTTGCAGGACGCCAATCAAAAAGGCTGCGACAAAGAGAGCGACGCCGACGGCGCCCGTGCTCAGGCAGAAGAGACTCTCGACCGCGGTGACGCCGGGTCCATGCTTTGGGAGGAAGCCGCAAATCTCGAGAGTCACGACGGTGGGCAGCAGGGCGAGACAAAAGTTTGCCCCAGTGTAGATGAGCCCGGCGTCCACATCCAGGAGAGACTCAAAGGTCGAGAGCAGCTTGAGCTTCTCCACGATGCCGGTCTTCAGCAAGCTCTCGACGGCGCTGAACGCGCCAACGCTCTCGAGCTTGGTGAAGACACCATTTTCGGCAGCAGCAGAGAGCAGCCCGAGCTCGCTCACGCTCGTCAGCACACCCAGCTCGTTGACGCGTGAGAGGAAGTAGACGGGCGGCTTCTCGATGCTGACCTCGCGAGCCTCAAACAGTCCGTCCTCAAAGTTCTCGAACGCGTACTTCTTGCTGTTGCCACCCATCCGGACGGCGCTGGAGCGCAACACCGCAGCGGCGGGCAAAATGGCTGATCGCGGAGCAGGCACCTGAAAGCGCGGCGGGCGGTGATTGCAGGGCATGACGGTTAACCCCGCAGGGAGAGAGATACTGCACGTTGAGTGCAGCCACTTTGAGCGGGACGAACGCGAGGGCGGTCAGCATCTTGTGCAGGGTGGCAGCGGTGTTCTCTCGGTGCCATCTCTCCATACTGTCCCGTTTTGCTGTTCACAGCTAGGGACGGCCTCTGCGGCAAAGTCAGATCACCCCCACCACCTACCACCTGCGCAGCCTCTAACTATTTTAAAAAATAACAGGAGTTGCGAAGAGGACCGCCGCAAGCGGCGTGGGCGCGTGGCGTGGAGCGGTTGTGCATCCCTCCGGGGGGCCCTCTGCGCCGGGGAGGCGTTGTTGGAGGCTAGGACGCAAGCGCGGTCCGTCGCCCTTTTCAAACTCAGGGCCCACTCCGCTACCGACCGGCTACGCTCCGACCCGAATTTGGAGGGCCTAAAAGTTTAAGGTGTTGCTGCGCAAAGGGGGTCGGACACAGGGCGCAGCTCATGCTAAGAGCTAGAAGGGGAGATAGAGAGAACAACCACCCTGTCCCGTTATTGCGTACACCAACACCAAAAAGCTCTCTCTCCTGTCCTCACTCAGGGGGGTCACAACTACCGAGTCCCTAGAGTCTAGCTGCCACGTTCAAAACCAGGACGGCGGCAGTGATAGTGCTATCACGGGCATGGTCCGTGGAAAGTGGAGCGGGTGGTACGGGATAGCAGGCGCTTTGTGGCTGGCGGGTATGGGCGGCGGCGTTGGGTGGCCGGCCGAATCGTTAGCGGAGCTCCTCCCTCAAGCTCGATCACGCATGACGCACGTTGAGTGACAACGTTGGCGAGCTTCTGAATCAGGTTAGGTTGCCGGAGCACCGCCAGCTCCTCCTCTGAGTCAGACACGCCAATGTCGACTGCGCCCTCCTCCTCCCATTCGTCGACTGCGCCCTCCTCCTCCTCCTCCTCCTCCAATTCGCCGACCGCGCCCTCCTCCTCCATGGGCTCGATCCGATTCCGCAGCGTTTTATCCGAGCTGCAGGCCTTCCGAGCGAGGCTCGACGCGTGGCTGACGGCGACTCTCCAAGCTGCACGTCTCGCGCCCCGCCCGCACGCCGTCGTCTCACCGATGGAGGGGTGCGAGCAGGCGCCCGGCCGCGAGCTGCGGCGAGACGTGCTGCAGGCCTTCCCCTTCCCGGAGGAGTTCTGGCTTCAAAACTACGTGCTCAACGAGGGGCGTGGAGGCCGCCTGGCGCTGCCTGTTCGCACCCGACAGCTCTGCCTGCGAGACGATGCGCGCGGCGAGACCCTACTCGCCGACGGCGTGCGTGCCGGGTGAAAAGCGCTCGTTCACACCTCCCGCCGTGAATAGGCGAGACACAGCTCGTCTCGCCTGTCATGGTGGACGCAACCGCGAGCGGGGCGACCGAGTACTTTGCCGTGAAGCGGGTTCCGCGCCTTGTCGACCACCCGATCGTTCGACGCATTGCACAGCTCACGCGCCCGGCGGCGCCGCCGCCCCGCTGGCCGCCTACGGCCCCGCCGCCTCTGCCGCCGCCGCCGTCGCCGCCGCCGCCGCCGCCGCCACCGCCGCCACCGCCGCCACCGGCGCCGCCGCCGCCGCCGCCGCCGCCGCCGCCGCCATCGAGCAGCCACCGCCGGGGGTTGCGTTCGCGTTATGACTCGCCGCGCCACGCCAAGGGCGGGGCGGCGCTCGCGCGCAGACAAGTGAGGCATGCCTAGAGGTGTCCTCGAGGTGAGTGTCTACTTGGGGTGTGTGATGATTGTGTGCCTACATAGTCTGCGAGACTTATTACACGTGTCGACATGCGCCGTTGGGTGCGCCGGAGTCAAAAAAAATCCAAGAGAGGGGCTGGAGGGCGGGAGAATCCAAAAAAGCCGTCCAAAAAGCCACAAATCCAAATCCCCATCACACCCGATGCCATC